TGAGCTTGGAAAATTCCTTCAGGCTTGGCATGGCCAGGTGGTTAGGGCACTTGACTCGCAATCTGAGGGTCGCGGGTTTGAATCCCCATCACACCAAACATGCTCGCCCTTTCAGCTGTGGGGGTGTTATAATGTGACAGTCAATCCCACTATTCATTGGTAAAAGAGTTGACGGTGGGTAGTTATGACTAGCTGTCTTCCCTCTAGTCTTACATTGCTAAATTAGGTATGGCTAGTGCAAATATCCCTTGTGTAGCTTTGCGTGAAATTCAGAAACAAACAAAATTCCTCCAATCACCAAAAAAATAACAAACTTTAATTGTAATGGATTATCATGATTAAGGAAGATGGTTCATCTATAAGTATAGCATTCCTAAAGAAGAAAGTTGAGTAATTCACCTATGATAATCTATCAACAGCAACAGCATGCACAATTAATAGAAAAAGTTAATGTCAAAAGAGAAACTCAATAACCTGAGTGTTTTTGGAAAAATGATTTTTCTTTCATGAGGGGTAAATTACCATTTTGTCTCACATTTAGTTTTTATAAAATTCCAAGCATTATTAGAAGAATAGATAAGTCCATAAAATATTCAGCAGTTTGTTTATAATTTTTCATAAATTTGTTATCATGGATTCTCCATTTTTAACATCTTTCCAGCAGTCATCAACTGAAAACTTTCCACATGTGTGGGTTGCTGAAAGGTGGCAGCATTGGTCTGGGGAAGCTACTGGGAGGAGGTGCTTGTGGTTGGTGACAATGTCCAAATAGAATGGAAAAAAGGTTGGCTGGAAATATAAAAATTAACAGAAAGAACTTCTTTAGATGCATTAAGACAAAGCAAAATAGTAGGATAGAAGTAAGGCCTTTGAGGGATGATAAATATTGGTAGGCCAATTTCCGATGATTATTTGATGTCTGGGTTGCTAAGTTCTACTTTTTCTTTAGTTTTTCTCTAATGAAGATTTAAATATTGTTTAGCATCCTGAATAGTTGCTTGAGGGAAACAAGATTGAATAAGAGAATCACATTAACTATAAGCTTGTTAAGAAAAGTTTGGGGAAAATGACAAGGCTCATGGACCAATTAAATAGTTTCCCAGGGATTTTAAAGGAGGATAAGGATTGTATATGTGAGTTCACTTGCTGTTATTTTTTTTTCTTATAAGTCCTTGTGTTGTGGGGAGGTGTGAGAGGATTAGAAATTGGCTAATGTTGCTCCACTTTTTAAGTGACGTAATAAAAATTGCCTCTGTAATTATAGGCCCATTAGTCTTACATCAGTAGTGCGAAAGGTTTTTGAATCTATGATAAAAGATGCTTTGATAGTCAAAATGGTTTCACAAGGAAAAATTTCGCCTCACTCATCTTTTTTTTCATTCTTTGAAGAGGTTATTGCTTATGTTGATGAGGAATAAAGGTGTGGATTTGGCATATAAGGATTTTCAGAATGCATTTGACAAAGTACAACAAAAAGGCTTGTTAAAAAAATTATCTATAGGTGTAGGGAGAATATGTTAGCTCATTGGATCAAAAATTGGCTGGAGGAATGTAAATAGAGAGTTCTTATAAATAAAGTTCATTCAAGCCAAATTAATTTCAAGAGTGGTGTACATACCCCAGTGCTCAGTGTTTGGGGCCTTTGATATGTTTGATTTTCATCAATGACATAAACAAAAGAATGCTCAGCTCAAAATAAATTTCTTAAATTCGTTTATGGTATTAGGGTCTTGGGTGTTGCTGTCTGTGAGAATAATGGTGTTGAAAGCTGACCTTTTCTGGCCTTGAATCCAGATGACTGTACCAATCTCGGTACCTCTG